GTTGGACTTGATGATCTGCTCAGGTTCCTTCTGACCCTAGAAACTGAAATTCTTATGACTATGGATTGCCCTATCTGTCCAATATAGACAGTAGAGAGGGACTGTAAGCAGTTGATGGTTTATATAATATTGGTTAAGGTGCAGGTGAATGAACTTTGGATGAACTGGAAAATCCAGTTTTATTTGGTCCAGTGATTATGTTGTCTATGTTAATGAGGGGGCACAGCTGGCATCTGGGTTTGAAGCAAGGTCTGGTGCTTTTAACATAATTCAGTATGTCAACGTTGTAGGCATTAAAGTCTTGCTGTTAGATTTGTGGTGGGAAAGCCAGTACCTGGCTACAAATACTGTGTATTCTTCTGTCGTTTAGTAGCCACAGAGTATCATCCATTTTCTTGGAGAACGAAACATCACCTTTCCTTATGTGATAAGTGGAAATGTCTATAAAATACCTAAAAACCTATGAATAGGAAGACCACTTCCTGTCTAGTTATCCTAACATGATGATATAAAATAGGGCTGGCCAGCTGATGGCCCACCAGTTGCATGTGGCCCATGAAGGCTTTAATTTATAGCTCTCAGGCTTCTGGTCTGATCACTGCACCTTCAGTGTTCCTACTGCCACTGGGGTCTCTGAGCCACTCATTCCTCCTCCAGCTTCTGCTTCCTCTCCCCATTCCTGGGGGTGGGACAGCACAGCCTGTGTGAGTCCAAGGAGCCTGCAGCCTGTGAGGCTCACAGTGCTTCAGGGTCTACCCACCATGTTATGCAGCATTCATGGTGTGTAGTCCTGGGGACATGCAGCCCCTGGCTGCTGAGAAGTTGGACACCTATGATGAGACAGGAAGATTTTAGAAATTTGCTTACTTTGCATTATTGAACTGGAGTTACTGGAAATCCCAGATATTCCTTTTTAAGAGGAACAGACCATCTTCTTAAAAATGATGGTTCCTCTCGAAGTTTTCTTAGTGAAATGTATTTCATGTAAGTTAATGTGTCCCCAGGGTTTAGCCTGCCCTCAGGTGTCTCTTGATAGTTTTCCAGTGTTGGCTTGTCTTGCTAGGTTTGGGCTTAGGAAGGAATTTTTGTCCAGCTCTGACTGGTTTTCCTTTGTCTTGCAGCACCTAGTCCTCCTGTCTAGGATCTTCTGCCACTGCCCTGTTTATAGTCTGTGTCTCTGTGTCTCTCCTGTTCTTTGCCTGTGGCATGTTGCCAGGTTTGGGATGATTTTCCCCCATCTCCAATAAGGTGCTTTTTCAGTCATGATGTTGAAGAAGGTGAGAGTAGTTCATTCTCTCTCTCTGGAACTTTTAGAAAATGGCTTGCTTCTGAATACGGGATGGGGCATAATGGTCAAGGAGGCCTGTTCTAGTCCTGGATTCTTACATTTTGGAAGAAGCCCTGTAGGAAATAGTTTAACTCAAAAGTAACTAATTTACTGTGGTTTTCTTTTAATTTTTAATCTTTTAACAGTCACTTTCTATTGGAGTTCTCTTGTGCACATTGGAATCCTGTACTTTGTAGTAAGAACTGTATTACCAAGGAACTCTTTCTGCCTGATTTAGGATTTGGAATACTTGTCTGAAGGACTTGAAGGACGCTCTTCTAATCCCGTGGCAGTACTTTTTGATACACTGCTTCATCCAGAGGCTGACTTTGGATATGACTACCCACCAGTTCTGCATTGGAAGCTAGAACAACATCACTATATCCCACATATAGTGCTTGGCAAAGGACCACCTGGTGGGGCTTGGCATGTGAGTAATTTTTGAAAAAAAATTCAAATCCTATGATTTGTATTTCATATTTTTAGTCTTTTCTTATGAGGGTTTGATTCCTAGGTGGAAAAGAATCGCAGGTTTTGCCATTCATCTGAAGCCCAGATTCTTTACAGAGAACCAGAAAAGCAGAGGGAGAAGGGGGAAGGAAAAAATAAACAAATCAGTGTTGTGGGAGTTACTTTCGAGCATAAATAAGCAATATTTGCTATAACTTTTTAGTTTCATTATTCTTTTATTTTATTCTTGAGGATTATTTACCTCAAAAGTGAAGGGATGCCAACTTTGTGAGGGATGTTTGAGAGACCTGGTTGCAAGGATGCATTAGCTGGCAGGTTCAGGTCCCAGTAGTCCTGCATATAAACTTACTAAAATGAAATGATCCTAGTATGTTTGCATATTTTTAATAGTGTACCATAAAACTGTGGGCAAATTTTTTAATTCGCAAGAACCAAACAGATTGTTGACTTAGCAGCTGCAAATATTAATCAGGCTTTTAAAAGTAATCTTGGGGTTCCATATTTTTGCCTATGTCTTGTTAACAGATGAGATTAATTTGCAAATTTCTTTGTCACTTATAAAAGGACCCTGTTCTTTCAAGTCCCACACATGTTCATTTAACTGTTACAAAGTTTTATGTAGGGTTTTTTCATATTTTAAAACTATTAAGTGTTAATACAAATATAACAGCACTTCACGAATTCCTTTAAATTAGAAAAGGAAACTGTCAGTATGTTGGCATAAGCATTATGCATAAGAAATGTTTAAATTGGATGTTGGGGTCACAGAAGGGAGAGGGTTAAAATAAAAATGGGGGAGCAGTTCAAAATATTTTGATTTCCATCAAGTGATGTAATAATCTTCTACTCTTTACTTTGAATTTATCTTCCACAGTGACATTTAAATTAATGTAGAACTGACTAAACATTAAAAAGGCCCAGACACAAACCGTAGAAATCTTCCTTTCGTTAATTTTAAATTACCCAAATGTGTGTGCTTGGTGGGGGTTTTTGGCGGGGTGGGGGGTTGTTTGGTTTTTTAATAGAATCTTGGTTGTATCCCTTTGAGGCATTATTGGAATTAACTTTTGGTGGACTTATGTTGTATGTCATGTTCATGATGAAAGAGAACTGTCTGTCATTTTTTTTGCTTAAAATCAAAAATATGTTCTGAGGGTCTTGGAAAACCACCTACTGCAGAAAGAACCCATCTTCTCTTGGGCATTCCTCCTTGTGTCATCACTGGATGGCAAGGACTGCAGCAAGAGGAAGAGGCTGTTTAGTCCATCTGAAGACAAGCCTCCATGAGGAGTGATTCTTAAACATTTTCAGAGTCTGGATCATTGATGTAGGAAGTGTCTTATTAACTAATTGCTCTCTAATTTGGCGATGTGGACAACTTCCTCTTCTGCTTGTAATCATCACTTCCCTATGAATTTTATCAGTTCATTTTAATTGCATTAAAATGTAGTAAACTTTTGTATATTTCTGTAGATTTTTTTTTATCCTAGTTCAGCAACTAGAAGGAGAGTTAGTTTTTGTGCAGTGTGCGAGTTCTTTAATCCACTAAAACTAAGTTCATCCTTGAACTTTTTGCCTGCCTGTATTGATTCAATCTTTACAGGTTCGTTTAAGCTTGCATAGATTGAACCGATAAGCAAGTGAACAGACATTCACTTTTGATTCTGGAAATGCAGCCACATGCCTGTAGGAGCTGGGGAGTGCTAGAGCATACCTTCCTCTTCAGCTGAAGCAGACAGTTTGGGCCAAGACTAGCCCACCTTGGGGGGGTGGAGGAGGGGTTGTTGGGGAGGTACAAAGCATCCTGAGATACTGGCGGACTGTGAGTTAACTTAAATCTAGAGGGGCTCTGGAACAGAAAAGTTCAATAAAACAATTTAAGATGGATACAGTATCAGATTTAATTGATTTATCCAAGTTTATCTTAAATCAGTTTTGGCTATTTTGAAAGTGATTTATGTACACTGAATTGCTGTTTGTTGCAGATTTGAACCAGTTTCTGATCACTTATATTGGTTTATGTGTAACTTCTGTTTCTAGCTTCGGAGTAGTTGTAGACCACTTACCCATAGATTGTATGACTTAAACCACTGCACTAAAGCCAGCACTAGGAAGTACTTGGAGCAGCTAAAGTTGATAGCCTAGTTGTTGTTGTTGTTGACTCTGGTAACTGGCTCATACTTAGACTTCTAGTACTATTTATTTTGAATTCTGTCAGCAGGGGCATTCTTACAGCGTGTTTTCCCCCCTTGCCTGTATGTTCTTTGACTGGGAACTTTCTGTCAGGATTTATTTATTTTCCTGCTAGGAAATTATGGCTTGAATTTTTTTCTTAAATTTCCCCTTCTCCCTGCTCAGATTCTTTCTCTTCT